ACAGCGACACACAACGAACAACATGCTTTTTGCTTCCTCAGTCTGCATAATGACACAACAGGAAATGATATCATGGTGCTCTAGGAATGTCAAGATCTCTATGATAAAAACCACGGGGATTTTTTGAAGTTCCTCGAGTGTCATGATGTCACTTCCTTTTTCGAATAGATGAGGACATTCTTATAAACTGGAGGCCAGCGGGGTGACATGCAGCTCCCAAAGCACCCCTTGTCTGCCATCATGCCCAAATACGCAGCTGCCCCTTCTGCTTCCATAAACTGCCCCATCTGTTGCCTGGGCCAAGCCAAGCCAGGATGAAAGAACTTACTTGCTGCTGTACCTTTTATTACAGCATTGGAAAAAGTGCAGAAAAGGGCAACTAGAATGATAAAAGGGTTGGAACACTTTCCCTATGAAGAAAGGTTAAAGTGCTTGGGGCTCTTTAGCTTGGAGAAATGATGACTGAGGGGTGACATGATCGAGTTTTACAAAGCTATGCATGGGACAGAGCAGGTAGAGAAAGAAGTCCTTGTCTCCCTTTCTCACAATACAAGAACTCGTGGGCACTCAATGAAATTGCTGAGCAGTCGGGTTAGAACAGATAAAAGGAAGTCCTTCTTCACCCAAAGAGTGATTAACACATGGAATTCACTGCCACAGGAGGTGGTGGCAGCTACAAGTCTGAGCGGTCGGGTTAGAACGGATAAAAGGAAGTCCTTCTTCACCCAAAGAGTGATTGACACATGGAATTCACTGCCACAGGAGGTGGCGGCGGCTACAAGCATGGACGGCTTCAAGAGGGAATTGGATAAACATATGAAGCAGAAGTCCACCAGTGGCTATTAGCAACGAGGTATACATAGGAACTCTAGGTCTAGGGCAAGTGATGCTCTGTATTCAGTCTGGGGCAAGTGCTGGGGGGGGCAACAGTGGGAGGGCTTCTAGTGTCCTGGCCCCACTCTTGAACCTCCTGGTGGCACCTGGTATTTTTGGCCACTGCATGACAGAAGAGTGTTGGACTGGATGGGCCATTGGCCCGATCCAACATTGGCTTCTCTCATGTTCTTATCTTTATTTATTTATTTATTTCAATTTCTATCCCGCCTTGCCCGACAACCAGGCTCCACCTCTCCCAATTTTAGATATTTATTGACTGATTCATTTAGAAAGCAGAGATGCCCCCTCTCCAGGGTCCTGCCTGAATGAGAGTTTCAGAGGGCAGCCATGTTGGTCTGCAGTAGAACACCTGGATTCGAGTCCAGGAGCAGCTTTGAAAACAAGAAGATCTTTTTTTTTGGGGGGGGGGGGGAGCTTCCGAGAGGCAAAGCTCCCTTCATCAGCGCCTTTCA